CGAACGTAATCTTATAGCAGAAAAATATGAGAAGAAAAAGTGATGAATTATTTTTGCAAAATATTGTAAAAAAGCTTACGTTTGTTAAATGCGTTCTTGAAAAATCTTCTGCGCTAACAAGTAGCATAATAGTGTAATGAATCGAAGGTATTTTATGTAAAAGAAAGAAAATATTACTTTTCTTTTATGGACACCAAAAGAAAAAGCTTGGAGTGCGTGCATTCATTCGCATCCGTCAGATAATGCATGATCATATATTATCCAAATACCTTTTTCTTTTCGTTCCTAAACGATCGTTGTTTTGCTTATTCTCTCACTCACTGCTCGAGTATCTTTATCGACGGAGAGAGAGAGAATAAATCGAAGGATGGAAAAAATGTGCATGATACCACTACTTTATTTCTTTCTTTCTTTTCCTTCGGTGTACAGGATAGACAAAATATGAAGGTTTCACAGGCAATAATATGCTGCTAAATACAGTTGATCCTGCTGTAACAAAGTTTGAAACGTCCCTTGTACATATGAGAGAAGATATTAGTTTTTAATATTAGTTCTGAAAGCGTTTCACATAGTGAACTGCATCGGGTGTTTTTTTCGGATTTGAGCAAACAGTAAATAAAAACTTTAAACCAAGGTCAACGTTTTTCTTTTTAAACGTGGGTTTGACATAGCAACCCTCTAGCTTACAAATGACGCATTTAAAAGCTGGATGGCAGCTCTGTTGAACGCACATATTTAAAAAGAGTTTAATTTTGGTGTAAAGTTTTTATTTACTGTTTACGCAAACCTGAAAAAAGCCCGATGGAGTTTACTAGTTTTGCGTTCATGATAATGCTTCTCGTCAAAGATCGAGATTCACATGCAGTCCTGACTTTAGAACCAACATTAGTCTTCGATCCCCACAGAAATTCAGTACTACTATTCATTTCAAAATAGAAGAATGGTAGTTATTTTTTGAATAACTTTTTGATGGAAATAGCTATCGGTCTACGGTGTCCAATATTGAATAGAGACGAACATTCTGCATCTT